TCAAAGCTATTATGCGAGGATAATCTTTGATGTTAGCACAAGGAATGAACAAGATTTAAGTTATCAAAAACTAATGACAATAAAAATAAAATCAGTTCCTGTATATACTGAAAATTTAAATTCTTACACTTCCAATGCGGCACCAAGATCTGGCATATTAAACAAAAGTATGTGCTTAATTTTGACACCATTGCTGACTTGAATAATTAGTACTATAGTCATACAAATGTGGGCTAGCTTTGCATTTCAGAGAATCTTTTTGCAGGTCAGATCCTGTCTGGTCATTATGTATATGTGCAATAAAGTGAATAGAAAGGTCTAAGAAATCTCTGTCCCCTTTCCACAGACCCCATGCAAAGGGAAGGCGGAACCACACTCTGGATCTGTGGTGCTTTCAGAGTGCAGGTGTTGGTTCTTACTTAAAGTTGTATGCAGTATGAAGGCCTCACTTCTGGTGTATTTCAGTAATACTCATTACATTTTAAATGGACTGTAATATTCTGATAACTCAAGTCAGTCAGGCCCAGCCTTTGGTGTGTGCAGTGTTTGAGCAAATTAAGTAAGTTCACCTGGGCTTTTTTGTACTCATAGAACAATGACAATTACAAACTTGCCTTAACTCCTTGCATTTTTCCTCAGCTGGGTGAAAAGTAGGGTGCAGTTGGGATTATGCTGGGTCAGATACTGAAATACCAAAGTGCTAAACTCTCTTCTATTTCAGTGGAGGTGCAGGTGCTCGGTATTTCGGAATGAGGCTCCATATCATGTAAATAAAAGCCTGAAACAAAGCCACAGCTTTCGTAATGGCAATGAAATCAACCCATCCTTAAAGGAACCTTTTATATAGCTAGCTATTTTATTTGCTTTGATGTCCTATAATTACAGCGCATTGGAGCACTTTGATTAATCAAATCTGCTGGAATGTGGCAATTACTGTGCTTTAGCAGCCTCCTGCATCTCGTGTACAGGTTTCCCTCGCTTTATACAGTTTCTGCATGTGCGAATTTGCTCTTATGCCATGACCCTTTTTATACCAAAAATTTGTTATATGCAATGTAAATACACTCTTATGCGATTGGTGTGGTGGAAGCCCACAGTCAGCTGCTTTGTGCGGTGCATTGTGGGAGTGACGTGCACCAAGCTATAGTCTCCTATATGGATCTGTGCTCCTCGCTCGTTGTCTGCGACATGCTTCTATAGTTGCACATCCCCATTATGGCTTCTAACTATCCCGCTACCTTATCTCCTACCCCTCTCCCTGGTCCATCAGTGAAGCCTTCACCACCCACTCTTTACACCAACTAAACATTCACTGCCACCCTGTGCTTTTGGGTACTGTCTGCTGTTAGTAAGTACCAAAATTGTCTTGTAAAAGTGGTAGAAATGGGTCTGGGGGTCAGTACAGTCGAGGTCTTGAAATGTATCCCTATTTGTTACATTGGGAGCCACTCTAATTAAAGCGCTGTTCTGCTTATTAAAGCACTGCTCCACTAATTAAAGCACTGCTCCGAGCCACTTTAAGCCTCTAAGCCAGTCTAATTAAAGTGCTGCTTCCCCCTGAAGCATGTGTAAAAGTGCCTTTAGATCAAGGGCGGGCAATTATTTTGGGTGGAGGGCTGCTTACTGAGTTTTGGCAAGTCATTGAAGGCCTCATGGGTAGCCCCACCCCTTGAAAGGTGTCCCACCCTCTGGTTGCAATCTGGGGACCAGAAGTCACACTCCCTAACCCCTGACCTTTGCCACCAGAAATCCGTCCCCTTGCCCCCTGGAATTGTTCCTTTCAGCAAGGGGTTTTGCCATCTCTGAACCAGAAAAATACAAAATTATATACTAAAAATCAAACATTACTACAACATTCATTAATTTCATGTCAAAAAATATTTTTGTCCTGATTTACATGCGTTTGTATAGTGTACATACAGGTGATAGTATAATATCTTAAAATGAAGTCTTACTCTTGTATATTGTGGGAGAGTATGGGGAATATGGGGGGTGGATATATGTTTGTGGGTATGTGATTTGTCGGGGGTGGATAGGTGTGGAGGGGATGTGTGGGTGGGTATGGGTTTTGTGGGGGGCTATGCATGTGCTGGGGGAGGGTTGTGGCTTGTGTGGAGGGGGGGCGGGGTTTGCCCACAGTCTGCTCCTCTCTCTCTCCCTGCCATGGCAGGCAGAGCCCTCACCCACGCTTCTGCAAGCCTGGCCTCTGCACTCCTGCCACTCCTGGCCCTGGGGCACTGGTGAGGATCTCGTGCTCCTGCTTGCTGCCACTTGCCCCATCTGCCACTGCTGCCCTTCTCCTGCCACTTCCCTGTCCCACTGTCATCCCTTTCTCCCCCCTCCCTTCCCCCCAGCTGCTCCGGCACCACATTCCCGACACTGCAGCTGGGAACCATGTGATGCTGGAGTTGTGCATGGGGGGGGGTGTGCGCGGTGGGAGTGGGGAGATGGCTGCAGCAGGCAGGGCAAAAGAAGCAGAGAGTGGCTGCTGTGGCTGTTTAGTTCAGCCACCGGCTTCCCTTGGGTCCTACTGTCCCTGGCTCGTGTCATCTTTGGCAGGTAGCCCGGGCATATAAATATTAATTTTCTAATTTTTTTAAGGGCCCCACAGGCTGGATAGAATGGGTTGGTGGGCTGGTTCCGGCCCACTCCTGCCTTAGATACTGTTACTGGGTTCTGCAGACCCCGTTTCAGACTGCTGTGGAGCCTTAGTGTAGGCAGAACTGCCTGGTGTTTCACCAGAAGGCATCCTCCTGCAGCAGGACAGTGCCCTCTCATGCAATGCAAGGATTCAGGCTTATTGCTGATTCACTTTCTTATGACATTATAAGAAATTATGGCATTTCTTTCTCTTACATTACACATCCATAAGTCTGACCCTGTTCTGGCTTCTGATAAAATCTAATCACCTACCTAGAGTTTTAAAAAGAGAACTACAAATAGATATAATTAATAGGTTCTAAGGTGCTGAACAACTGCAAATCTAAAGAGTCTCATGTCACTGTGAGCTAAAGGTAATTCGTTTCTTTGAAAAGCAAGCCACAAAAATAAAGCTAGGAGCTTGACCCCATGAAGTGAGCATCCCTAACTCTAACTGACTTTTTGTTGTAAAAGGCTCTGTGCCAAATATTGCATTCCACAGAGGAAGCTTTGTGTGGACCCAGTGACCATCACGAATGCTGTGTAGTTTGTCAAATAAAATGCATCATACAGTTAGTTTGCAATAAAACTCATCTGTAACTTTTAGGAAGGTAAAGAGGCCACATGTTGTAACATAAATTTATTTCTGAATAGTTTGCGACAATAAGAACTACTGTACAGAAGTAACTTCATCACACTGTTACAACTCAGTCAAGTTATTTGTGCTTTTTAGGATAAGTAAATATTTATTCTATCACAGCAAAATGTTTGCATACTGACAACTAATGGTATTTGGTCTAAAAATAAATACATTTTTCTATTTATTAGATCAAACAAAGTACTTTCAGTCTGGAATACTCAGCAGTTTTGTTATTAACATTCAGTTTCTTGGAGGTACTGAATACCCATAACTTCCATTGATGTCCACAGGAGTTGTGGGTATCCAGCACTTCCCAGGAACAGGTCCAAAAGCTGTCCATTCACATTTAGTGTACGTAGTAAACTCCCCTTTATACTGACAGTAAAGTGACTTTCACTGTACTGTGTGTACTGCAGAATAGATGCAGAGTTAGCCATGTAACTTTTTATCACATACAGATGTTGATACACTGACAATCTTTTCTTTAACAAATGAGTGAGAGCACATGCAAGTGTGGAAATGAATTTAATGTTAATATATTATGGCTCTTTTGTTATAATTTATTTAAAACTATTTCAAAATTTTCAAAAATACTTAGTGCAAAAGGATAATTTCCCAGGACATATTATGGAAGCATATACTGTGATAAGGAAAATAAATGTTCTCTTATATATTTTCTCAGGGAAATGCAAGCAGAATTTCTTATAGTATTTTATTTAGGGAAAAAATGAAATGTGGTGTTTTTTTTCAAATAAGTAAATCACAATATATATGCAGTTCTTTATTATAAGTTCTTTTTCCTTTGAATTTGAAACCAATGTCTTTGGCAGATTCAAGAGAGAGTATAGTTAAATGCATAAAACTAACTGATCATTTGAGCTGCAAGATATTGTAGTTAGATCTTATCAAATAGTTATATAAATGTTTTCATAACATGAGCTATCCTATTTCATCCAAACATTTACATCCAAAATGAGTGGTTCAATCCAAATGTAAATATACATTTATTTAGCAATAAGACTTTATTCTTGTAAATACTAACAGCAAAACTAAATGTATAATGTATATTTATGACAACACCGTCTAGTTTCTTCAGGCTGATTTTCTTCTTAATAACCCATTTATTTAAGTTAGATTAAGATTTAAATAAAATAATATGCTCTTATAGTGCTTGTTCTAAAGATCATAGAGCACTTTACCTAAAAAAGTTACTATTAGTACCCCCTTTTTATAGCTAAGGAAACTGAGGCACGGAGGTGAAGTAAATCTCCCAAGGTCATATGGCAGGTAAGTGGCAGAGCTGGGAAAAGAACCTAGATCTCCTGATTCACAAGTCAGCGCTCCCTCCACTGGCCTGTGCTGCCTCTGAATAAAATGAAAAGGTCTCAGAATGTTTTTAAAGAGCAATATTTTGTGTGTCTGGATTTCATTTCCTTTAGAATAAAACAATTATGGAAAAGCTTGGAAAGCAAATAAACATCTCTCAGAAGAAAATTAAATGCATTAACAGAAATCTTTTTTTTAATCATCTACCTGTAAAGATATAAGACCTCCAAGTTTTCTGCCCCTTTTGTAGGTTGCTGGGATTTTAAAAAATAATTATATAGATTTCTATATTATGTATCTAGAGAGACATTCTCCTAAGCATTTGGAAAACAACAGTATTCTAATAGTTAAACTGTACAAACAGTGTTTTAAAAATGAACGTTGAGTCTATAATTCCACTGCACTTGATTAAATTAACCAAAGGATATTAACAGAATATTTGATTACAGAAATATGTCCTGTTTTCATCCAGTCATTTTATAGTCTATTAATTTAAAAGGCATAATTCTTCCTCTCTTAGTACAGTACATTCTAAAACACAACACGTCTAAAGTCCCTCACATGATGTAACAGTATAAGTACACCTTGATTTCACTTGGCTCAGTGTACACCTGTGGAATGGACCTGTATTGTGCCAGTTGAGTTTGTATATTTGTGCTCATTTTATGTACTGATTTCTGAAAATTAGAGCGTTACACAAACCACGGCCACTTAAGCGGGACTTAAAAAGAAAATGCTGAACATTAACAGGTTCCTTATCCCAATTCGAGAAGCCAGTCAAAAAGGCTTGGTGTCAACTCTCTGCTTTCCTCATGTAGCTTGCAGTATTGAACCACTGCACGAAAGATATCACCCACTTTCCAGGACTTCTGGTGAACTAACTGCACAACATCTAGAAACTAAATAAAAATGATATACTTAGGGATTTGTTCAGTGAGTTTTCTTAAGTAGTTTTCATTAAATGCACACAAACCATTCTACAGAGTGTTTGTCAGCATGATAAAAATCACGGCCCCACTGTGCATAACAAATAGCACTGAAATAAGTTTGATTCTATCTATTTATAAAACACAGATCTGAAATCCATTTTCATTTGGCTGTTTTGAATTTTGCATTTCAATTCAAAGACCCCACATAATCTACAAGATCCAGATTGAGATCTCAGTGACACTAATTAAATCAATAGCAACTCCTGTGTAATCAAGTTAGTCCCTGCAATGTAACTTGGACTGTAAGCCTGAGAACGAAATGCAACCATCTTTGATACTGATAACTCAGTATCAGAATAATGGTATTGTAAATGTTGAGAATTGAGAGCGTCAACATGAAGAGCTTATATTTGAAGTAAAATATATTTGTTCATTACCATCGTCACTGGTCTTGTTATGTTGCATTTCATTTAGTCTTGAACAGCTGGAAAATCCTACATTGTGTCCACTTTTGTACTTAATAATGGGCTTCATAATGTCATGCATCTGGTCCCATCCTTTCTTTGGCTTGGAAATGAAAATCAAAGCTTTTCATTTCCTTGAGTTTCACAATCAATAACTAATTAGGTTCCTCTATATACAGCCTCCAGTTTTAAACCACATGAGAAAATATTGCATATCTGCAGCTAGGGTAGCTGTTTGCCATTTTTATGCTGCACCCTAAACTTTTAATATGTATTTTAATACTATTTAATAGGTGTGCAATCTCCAGAAGCAGCATTGTAGGCAGGATATGCTTCAATATTCTTTAGTGCATTTTAGCAATTGAATTAACTGTTCACAAAAGCAGATGGGTAAAGCTGACAGCTGCTTTTTAATAAGATGCAATTTGGACAGTTGCTGCTGAATGCATTTTAAATGATGTTTATGATTCCCCAATGCATGTACTCAAGAAATACCAAACATTATATCTGCTACATAAAATGATCTAATTATAGAAATTATTTTAAAAGTCCAAAATATTGAAGTCAATAATTTTTCTTCATTAATATATTTAAATACTCTGACACTTTCATTAGCCTCATGACTTCATGGAGTTTGTCACTCTCCATGGAAAATGGACAGTGTGAAATGGCAATCTGTGAGCAGCTCCAACCCCTTAGTATAAGGAACAACTCCACTGTACCTGAGGGGCTACAGTTTTTGAGGGGATTTGGGGCTTCCATGTTGATCTTGGTGATTTGGTGGCTTGAAATAACATTACAGTTGCATTTAAAAGGTCTTTGAAATCTGCATGCTTCTCCATTGGAGCTATGCTTTCAAAACAGTGGGTAGTAGGGTAAGTAAGGTTTGATTAGTAGTAAAGGGCCCAGTTCTACATGCCCTACCACCATTTTGCTATTCTGTTTGGCACGAATTCCTGATGTCCATGAGACTTCACAGAACCCTTCAGTAAGCCTCATTTCTGAAGTGACAGATTTGCCATTGCAAAACTGGTTCAGTTGGCAATGCTGACTCTAGTAATACAATGGTGACTCTAAGTTTTAACTCGGGTGCCCTGGTGGACAGCCTGCTGATAATAAGTTAACAGATATATTAGCATAGTTTATTTTGCAAAATAAGCAATATAAGAGTCACACTAAGAGTCTTCACAGAACACTTCCCTACATATTTGAGCACGGTGGATCAAATTCTTCAGTACACTGGAGCCCTGTATACCAATTCCACCAGCCCAAGGATAGTCTGAAGTCAATACATTTGGTCACAGTAGAAATCTTTGAGTGTAAGAGCTGCCACGGCCCATTCAGAGCATCACTGTGTTCCAACTATTCTCCAGTACAGGAATCTTTGGGCAGCACAGCAAACTCAAAACAAGTGAGATTTCTAACTTGTATTGGGGGCTGAAGCAGAGAGAGGGGGCCAGAACAGGCCCATGTCAAATTCTGCTCCTGCTGTCATTAACATCAGAGGGGTTGAGGTTCTGCCAAACAAGTTTAACTGGGCCCTAAGCAGTAAGTAAGACTTTGTTGGTATACTGGAGTGATCAATTACCAATTTGCTAAACTCCACATAACATTTGACACTACCCTCTTTGTTAAGGTCTTTTTGACTAATACTGTCTCAATTTAAGCAGCTGTCCCTGATATGGCTGATGTCAGGAGGTGCATTCTAATTGCTGGAGAATATTTGGTTGTTTTTGAAGTAGTGTGATTTTCATTGGTGATTATTCATTTGTGCAGCTGCTGTTGTGCACTCAAACTAATGGGGCATTTAAATAATCTCAACTCATCTCTAGTAGACGGCAGCGCTACAACTATTCTAACAAAGATCTGTTGTTGTTAAATCTACTCTTAAGACCATTTCAGTGACTTCAATATAATCAAATTTGTTTAAAAGCTTTTGAGCTTAAAAAACACTGTCTATGGCCAGGAAAGGAAAATACTACCTTTTCAATCCTATTTTCCTGAGATTTCTTGAAGTAGATGGTTGGGATTCCAAGTTCAGAGGCAGCTATCCACTGAAGTGTTGCTCTGAGCTCTGCATCAGGGCACTCTGGCTCCAGATCAAAGTTGATCACTAACAGATCCTTTTGACAATTGGATGTCCCCACTGACAGCCCAGAGGTGCTTTCTGAAACACAGTCATGATGGCATTACTTTTATTAACCTCAAATACTCTATGGCAAGTCAGATGCCAATGCTACAGGTGAAACAGTTCAGCTTACCCTCTGTGTTCTCTGGCTGTTCTTTAAGGAACATTTTTTCTTCTATTAATTCACTTAAAAACAAACAAAAAACAAGAAAACCTGTTAGTAATATTTTGGAACAGTAAAAGCATAGTTTAATGCAAGGTGAGGTAGCATATTTATCTTATAATGCACAATTTGAATCTATAATATTACAAAGATGATAAAATATATAAATGGAAAAGATACAGCAGGGTACTGTATCTCATAACAGTCTCATCAGGGACAGCCTTGAGACACTACACAATGCTACTACAAGAGTACAGTGAACTGTTTTCAGTGTATAATCTACATCACCCTTCTTTAAGGTTGACAGTGTATCTTTATGGTTGATAGTTGTGTTATCTTGATGGGAAACTGCAAGCCCTGTGATTCGGTGAAGTACTGTACTTTCTATGTGCGTACCTTTCGATGTTGATTCTGCTGTAATTGCTTTCTTGTACTCTCTCTGTCTGTCATAGCTGGATGTAATAATAATGCATTAGTACCTCCAGCTGCTATTTTCTAGCATTTTAGTTCTTCTCCAATAACTGGATTATATTAAAATAATCCAAACATCTCAAGCAAGCTATACTTTGTATGTTGCACTATAGCAGACAAACTCCAGTACAGTGTCAGAGATCTGCTTTTTCCTGCCCTCCTTTTCTGAGAAGTAAGGCCATGCACATCTACATACTGCAGAAGGCTGTCAATCTGGTAATGATGCTATTGATTTTTCTAGTATTCCTAGAGGTTTAGCAACCACTCACTACATAAACTTCCATTTTCTCATCAATCAAGGAGAGTTAAATATTGGAGACTTTGGCTGCTATTATGGAAGAACAGTATTATCTGACCTTTGGGCCCCTGCAGACTGTAAATGGCATGATGGAATCTGAAGGCGTAACTATGGGTTCTTGCATCAGATCCCATTGTGCTATATGGCTGGTGCAGGAAGATCCTGGGACTGACAGTTAACAAGCTTGGCTGTTGGGGAAACACACCATGAGCTCCCTGGCTGGGAGCCCTCATCATCTGGACTCTGAGAGATGTTGGGTTGAAGTGTCTGCATGGAGCAGCCAGCACTCCATGGTGTTGAGGGAATGGAATACATGTTTTACTAAGGCTAGCAATCACAGCTGCAACAAAATATTTATGACTCTATAGAAATATCAGTGTCCAGTGTGTTTATCAAAAAGGTTAGAATTTCTGATAGCAAGAGAGGCTAGTCCTGCAGGATGGTGTCCCTGAGATAAAGACAGGCTACAAACCATTAATGGGTTGTTAGAAATGTCGAGGGTCGGGTTGAAGGGGAGGTGGTCACAGTGACTTTGCACTGTACCATGTTTTCTGCATGATGTACAGTATACTTACTTCCATGGGTGCCACTGCATCACACCATCTACTAGCAGGTCATACCATGTTTCAGGGTACCAGAATCTTTAGGCAGGTACTTGCACATCTCTCTCATTTTATTCCTATTGAGCAAGGTTGGTAGAAACATGCCCAGAGACGGCAGACAAGGAGTATCTTGGGGCAAATGATCACTTTTTTTAAAAGAAGCTCGGTGTTTCTCTTTCTTCAACTTAAATTGGCTCTATTGTACTTAATCTTACAACTGTTACAGTAAGCCTTGTTACAGTAATAGTTGCAAAGTTTTCTAGCGAGGAGTGCCCACCCAAGGGGAAGTGGATATCTCAGTTTCACCTTTTAAGCAAAGCACATGGTGGCTATGCAGCTCCTTGAGACATCCACATGGAACAGCTTTACTATAGGCTGATATTGCCAGTCTGCAGGAAGATATCTGCATGTACATTTATCGAAGATTAACAACTGCTGAGGCAGCAGTTTAGAAGCATGGTTATTAGGGGTTTGGCACATACTGTATGATATAAATTATTTTCAGCTGACATTAGAATAGTACTTCTAAATACCAGACTTCATTTTAGTAGCTACTTACTTAATCATGGGAGAAGATGGCATGTTTTCCTGATAAATTTCCAGGTCCATAATGCCAAGACTGCTAGTTGTACTGCTGTTGCCATTGCTGACAAAGCAAAAGTTTAAATATCAGTGTCAACCTCCACCCCTACATGTGTCCATACATTTTCTAATATGCAAGGAAAAGTCAATGGGCTCCCCCCCTGGAATTCAGAGCTATAGCTTTGACCCCAGATTCTACAAAATCAGGGCATGCAACTCCAATCATGCTCAACAAATGATTCCCAAGAAAAAGGGCACTGATATGTTTAAAATAATATGAGACTTTTCTTAAATTATTCCTGGATGAGTCATGCATCTACTGATGCTGTGATATGAAAAAAAAAGATGGACTCAATTTTTTTTTGTTAATAGTTTATGCAGTGATATGTGAATTTCAATCCAACTCCTAGCCTTTAATAGGAAAAACAAACTGCATGAGTACTTGTACAGGATGACTAGCAAGTGGTTAGAGATGTCCTGGACACACCTGCAGAGATTCAGATACCGCTGAACGTGGTGTTTTAAGGCAAGATATTTGACTTCCTGCCTTACTGTTTACCTGCTAGGGGAAGCCATGCCCATACTATAAGCGACTGTTTTAGTGTAGTAATCAAACCGTCTGAATACTGTAGGAAATCTGATGGAACCTACAGATACGGTGGCAACCTCTTATATTCCTGGCCAGTATGAAAGACAGAGATTTCAACTAAAGCCACTGTTTTCATCAAGGGCAATAGCATTTAGAAGTTCTCTCTGGCTACACTGCAAGAATTAAATTTTTACTCTCAGCTTGTCTGGAATAATAATACATCAAACACTGACAGAAATCAGGTACCTCATGGATCTCTCACTGAGTTGTAAGTAGCTACTTGTATCATCAGGATTATCCTCATCATTCACTAGCTGAGACCAGCTGCCCATGCTTTCATCACTGCTGCTGAGAGGGTTTGGGAATTCTTCAGCTGTTTTTGTTTCCACCACAGTTTCAGCATCTGTTCCAGTCCTAGTACTAATGCTGGCAAGGTTAAAAAGCAAGGCATTACTGAGATGTTAAGTATATAACACAAGCAAACCTAAGCTAGAATCTCTAATTTTCAGGTAATGTTGAGCTGCGTCTTATTGTTCTTGATTTTCAAAAAAGCCAGAGCAGGAAGGTATTTTAGGCAGATTCAGATTTGCATTTGTCTATGATGGGATACCTGTACAACATTATTTTGTCCTCACATCAGTGTAGATTCAGGTTATGTTCCTCATAGAGTGCTGAATCACAGCAGTGCAAACTCGTGGGAGATCAGAATCAAGCCCTCAGCTTGTGGACAAAATGAAGCTAAGTACATGGAATAACATTCCATTTAAAAAGTCCTTTTACTAGTCCTGTAAATACAAACACAAAACAAACTGGGTCTTCCAATTTGTTGGGAATAACATTTCTCCAAAAAATTTTGTTTAGGCTACAAATCAAAGTCACATTTGTCTCACGATAAACCATTTTATTCCAGGATGAAGTATAATCATTCAGGGTAAAAACAAATGTTGCATTTGATTCAGTTCTGGCTAATCCCAATCAAAACCTAGGACTGGCATAGCCCTTTATACATGCAGTTTGACTCTGGAATGAATGGCAATTAACTTGATTTGGCCACAATTATTCCAGGAAAAAGTGTTATCTTGGATATTCCACAGGTACTTGAAGTGGAAATATGGATTTGTACATCTGCAGGATCCCAGGATAAAAGGCTTTTTCCTGGGATAAATCTGATGTCTGTTTTTACCCTCAGACATCCGTGTCCATTGTCCCGAGATAAATCCTGAAATGTTCCTGGAATAAGAAGTACTAACAGTTTATCCTGGGACACTGCAAAGTGCATCTGAGTGGTTATCCCAAGATTGCATTACTGAATCCATTCTGCCACTCACTGAACCCTGATTAAAAGGACGATGGGTGTACACGCCTATCGTGGGATATTTCTGTTCTGAGATGAATACAGGCACAACTTGTCGAGGGACAAATGCAATGTCTGTTCCTAGCCATGCAGAAGGAACTGCCATATTACAGAATGCATGGTACTGTATTATAGCATGATGAAATTCTCTAATTATAAATTAGCTATTTAAACCCACATGTGGAAATATGTGCTTGTCTGGCTAGAGAAGCAAGAGGATGAAATTTACACTATGCATTGCCCGAGATATACTCTTTGAATGCCTTTACATTCCTTTTAATAAGTCTTAGTACTTATACAATATAGAATGTTATACTTTCAAAGCACTGTATAAATATTAAGATTTTTTTCATTATTTTCAGAATTTTAAAAATTTCTTAATGTATAAAAAGTGATACTTTTTTAGTTTAACTTTAAAACAAATCCTTTTTAAACAACAAAGTGTACAATGCAGATACAGATTGAATCTACATTTAGGTCAAATAAAAATCTGTGGAAAGTAATACTAGTATGATAAAAATCAATATAAACATATTTCAATGTGAAATTATATCAAAATTAAGGTTAAATATGGATCCCATTTCATCTTAAATAGCTCTACAGGACCTTTAACTGGAAAATGAATGTTTTAATCTGATATTTACATTCATATCCCTAAACCTATCTGACACTGAAAGTGCAGAAGCATTGTGCAAAGCCATCTTATGAGTTCTAACTACTGACTGCTACTACCCAAAAATTCTCTTATATGTTTGCCAACATAAATTGTTCTGAATTGTTTAAAACAGCACATCTTGCTTACATAAACCAAATGTAGCTATAGTTTTGCTCAGTAGTGCAGTCCTCAACTTTTGAACAAAACTTGGCCATTTCAAAACCACACGCAAATCCCTACAACGTTCAACCTTCAAGGCAGTATTGTTTCTATTTACAGGAAATTAGTACAATCAAATTAACAACAACAGCTTTCATAATGAAGGACCACAAAGTGCTTAACTTCCTATTTATAAACAAATCTCATTGAAACCCAGCCAGCTTTTTTTTTGGACAGTGATTGATTGTATGAAGCACAGAGGCAGGTGAAGGGAAAATTCTACCATGTACTGTGTTACAGCTAGCTCTGGAGCATGCCTAGGAAACACCTTCTTTCCCAATAGGATGCCTGTGTATATCCAGAATCAAATTTAATTTCTTTAGTCACATGAACTGTTGCTGCTTCAACTCCTGTCTGCTCTGAATAGCTAACATGCCTTAGAAAGTATGCACATTAGATTAACAGGGCAAACATTTTGTCTTTGCTTGCACCTGTGTAACTCTAATAAAAGAGTATGTGGTCCTATAGGTTTTGCTGATTAGAAGAAACTAACACAATGACTCCAGGAACGGAATTGAGGTGTAACTAAATTGAACTACAGGTACATTCTAATTGCTGCCTCTTTTCGTTTTCTAACCTAGTGCTCAGTCTTTCTTCTCACTTTGTCTAATGCGGTGGTTCTCAACCTTTTTTGGACTCCAGGCACCCCTCACTGGACTCAAGGCCCTCCTCTATAACTTTTGTGAATTAAGTGATACCCAATTTCAAAACTAATGTATATATTACAGTGCTTACCTCCTTGAAGAGGAGCTGGGCAGTGGGTATAGAGGATTGCTCAGAGGCAAGTACAAGCCTGAACCCTGGCAGCTTGGTTGATAATTGCTGGACTACTGCTATGCTACCATTTTTCCAGAGTGTAACCAATAGATTTGGATAAGATGCCTAGCCTTGTGGCCCCTTATACGGAGGGTGAAAGATCACTCAAAAGTTTCATTACGCTGGAAGGGATTAATTTTGTTTGGGACAGAACGAAACATCATTACTGACATCTGCTCCTGCCTTGCTACCTCACTTAGGACAGCTTCTGAGAAGTTCCTGTGCCAATGATGGAGATGAAGCTGAGAGTCAGGAAGTGCAGGGGACTGCAGAGAAAAAAACCTACCTCATTTGCTTGGTTCGCCAAGCAGGTTCACACTTATGGGCACCCATACACATGCCTGATGCCTTCTCTGACACATGCTAATTACAATATGCCAGAGCAGACCTGATTAATCTAAAAAGCGCTCTAATTAGAACACTCCAGCAGCCTTGGCATTTCATGTATTCAGCATCCCATACCTCAAAATGGTGATGGGGGGTGTTTTAAGTAAAGCTTGTTGAATGACCTTTCGTTAAAGCACCCCTGCCACCATTTTGAAGTGTGAGATGCTGAGTACACAAGACATTACAGTCATTTAAATTAGAGCTCCTAAGACCTGCTCTAGTTAACACCCCCTTCCCATCCCGAGCACATGTAAAGATGCCTGATGGTGTAGACATAAAACTCTTTTGACCACCTCTGCCTATACCCAGTCATCCTAAAACAGCATTCAGCCTGGTGAACAGGGAGAGAGGACACGGTAGTAACACATATCCTTTATTACCATGTCAGCCGCATCTAATATTTAGCTCTGATTTTCCTACTGATGAGTGTCTTTTCTAGTTAAGCAACTGGAAACCACAACACAAAAGTTTCATACTAACAGATAATTCTTTCCTCATTGATCCTACAGCATTGCTGCATGTGGAAACCCCTTTGAAATGGCAGGGAGTTCTGGGTGTGTGGAGAGTGACAGGATCAGGTGCCATGTGTTACCTGCACACTCCCTTTACAGCTACTCAGACATGCTACATTTCCCCCCACACCAAATATTTTTCTTCACCTGTTGCATGAACTAAAAAAACATGAAATGACTCTTTTAGGAAGAGTTACCTTAGGTATTGAGAGCTAGTGAAATGATACCACTTTTCTTCTCGGGCTTTTAAACAAGTAGACTTGAATGAATGTTTCACTTTGCTGTTTTTCCAAAGCCTGCAACAGTTTGTATTTCTTGAGAACATGTAAGTGCCTGCTCAGTGCTGTGGATGGCAGATCTGTATATCAATCTAGGGGTATATCTACTCCACGAGCACCCTTTCTGTGAATTTCATATAAGCACATTGACAACTGTCCACTAAAGACACTAAGAAAACACTGCATATTTGTCTGAGAGCAGAGGAAAAAGCCATTATCCAAAAGTTTCCTAAGTTACTGAGAGGCAGAAAGCCATGAGTCCAGCCAGATTAGTTTCTTAATGAATCCTATTACCAGCTGACTGTGCTTGAAGCAAGAGTCACTGTTAGTAGGAGTCAGCAGGATATAGCAGAGGCAGTATGCTAATTATCCACATAACAGGGGTATGTACATGCTTTTCCACTTCAATATAGAGCCCTGCCTAGGAGCCAAAACACAGCCTTTTATTTGTGGGGGGAAAGAAAGTATTTAATCCAGTAGTTTCTACCATTAGCAATGATAACCTAAGATACTATGATGCTTCCATATGCAGTGACTAGCATTTCAGCTAGTCAAGAAGTTAGGTTGCAGAAGAAACCTGGCTAAAATAGATAATACTTAGAGGGAGAGTGAGTGACCACTGCTATAAACATTGCCCCATAATGCAGCAGGACTTTTTTTCTAAATGGAGAAAGTGGCGGATGTAGGGTTCTAAAGAGAGTGCAGTTGCACTAGGATGGGGTGTGCTAAAACATGGATGTGTATAGACATTTAACTACTAGGTATTGCTCATGCTAGAGAAAAAATCATACCATTCTAAAGCAAACAATGTTAGCACTGTGCTGTAGGTTTTAATTTGTTTCTTTAGGATGTTGTAATAAGACTTTATCCTGAATAGATTAATGCATAGTTAATTTATGGAATTCACTGCCACAGGAGCTGGTGGAGACAGACAGCATAGCCAGGTTCAAAAAGGGACTCAATAAATTCATGGATGATAGACCTATTAATGGCTATTGAACAGTACAGTTGGAGACGTTTCCTCTGACATTTCTAAACCAATAATGGTGGATGCCAGGGATAGATTATTCTAGAGATATCCAGTGCAATGGTCTCCCTGCATAGATCCACTTCTGCCTCTGTCGGAGTGAGAATACTGGGCTGGATGTACTGCTGGTCTGACCCAACATGTATGCATACCATTGGTCTGACCCAGAGGTATTCTTAAATTGGAAAAGGTAGGATTCCTCAAGTAGAAGCTGATTTTTTCTGTTAGAGATAAAAAGAAAGCAAAGCGGTAACTCATTCTCTGTCACTCACCTGCTATTTATTAAGCAGCTTGAAACCACGTGCTTCCCAGAAGATGCTTCTGGAGGCTTTTCTTTGTTGGCATGTTCTTTAGCTTTTCCACAGGGGATGCTACTAGCAGTTAATGGCTCTGGGTCTTTATCCAGGTCTTCTCTTTGATCAGTTTCTATTTGAATCAAAGGGACGTCCCTTAGGCAAGGAAAGGAGCTCGTGTGGCTTAAAGTAGGGGATCCAGGGTTTGTAATATGTTCTTTTTTCCCATCTAAATGTATTCTGTCCCTTGGTGGTTTTGAGTGACCTTGTGTCACACTTGGGAGATGCCTGTTTTCTGTGACATGTTCTCTGCTTGTATGGTCAAATGAATCTTGATGGACAGCAATTAAAGTTTTCCCACTTTCGACAATATTTGCAGCCAGTCTATTTGCATACTGTTCTACATGCGGTGGGGAATCACTGGAAAACTGATCAGGATCTGTAACCTCTGCTTCATCCACTATAATTTTGTTCTTACGCATTAGTGATTCAATTGAGCTTGCCCACGTCTCATGAATTAACATGTCAGTTATCTGGTCAGTCCTACATCTTTGGTATAGGCATGAATCTGACTTGCAGAGACCTGAAGAAGATGCAGTACTGACTTGTATGCTTAAGGAATCCAAGTTACTGCTGTGGGCAAAGCTATCTAAAGAGTTTGCCTTGACTGGGGCATTCACTGTTAGCCTGGACCCTGATGATCTGCTGTCTGGCATAGAAGATTGTCTAAAACAAAATGGTGTTCGCAGAGGAGGTGGTAGCAAACTGCTACTGCAGTCCCTTGAACTTCTGGTGGAAGATAAATTATCTTTATTTTCCTTTTCAAGTTCTCTTAGCATGTACCTATAAAATTCTTCCGTTATGCTTTCTGTGCTAGACTGCTTGGATGGGCAACTGGGCCTTACATTGAGGTGGCTGTTTTTCCTGGCTACCTGTTGCAAGGCAGAAGTTAAGATGTTGTTTGCATTTTTCCCTGCATAGTAGTCCAGTAACAAATCAAACCCTCTTCCTTCATTTTCCATCTGATTTACCATAAATCTTGAAAATTCATCTGTAATGCTTTCACAGCTAGACTGCTTGGAGACAGAGCTGGTCTGACTCACTGGCTGGCCTAAAGTATTCATTGGGCCCAGCATATTCAAAAAGCTCTTGGAGTCTGAATCCTCCTCTGGTATGCTCTCACAGCTTGAGGCCTTAGCTCTGCTCCACCTTTCACAGTGAAGTCTGTTCCTGGGATGATTTGGACCCTGCCAGACATTATCAACCATGGACAATTCAGTTAAATTCATAATTTTAGCGGCCACTTCATTTGCAAAGATATTGACAGAATCTGGGGTATCTTCAAGGTTTATAGATTCATCCACTACCCTGTTCATCAGTCTTTCCTTTAGCTCAGGGTGTTCATCTGTTTTTCTTTTGATCTCACTAAGCCTAGGTGGCCTGTGCTTCCTAACAACTGAGCCATTAGGCTGAGTATCCTTCTTTCTTTTTATGGTTCTGCATGATAAACTTTGGGTCACCAGATACTCATTTCCTCTTTTCCATGCACAGAACCAGGGTTGCTTGCCATTTGAATTTTCAAGGCAAATGGCAGCTATTTCTGTTGCCATAGAGACCACTGTTTCTGCCAATTCTTCTGCAAAATCTGTTATGCAGTATTTATCCCTTGACTGTTTTACCTGCAGCATGGGCTGAGAAGGAAGCAAGGTATGGTTACCTAATAAAGACACATTAACTTGGACTTCATTGTTTAGCACATTGTCATACTTAACTTTATCTTGACTTTCTCTGTTCACAATGGCATCAGAAAATAGCTGTTCTTGAACACCGTGTCTGCATTCATTGGCTCTAAGTGTGTTATCTCTATCTGAAAAAGATCTGAGATCTTTTTTCTTTTGGTTGTTACTTGGATTTGGGGATTTGTAGCAATCTCTTGTAGTTCTTTTCAGATATCTTTTTTTGGGGGATGTTCTTGCGACCAGTGAATTTTGCCCACGGATTCTACCCGGCAGGTCTGACTGTAGTGTGGCACTTTTCATGCTATTTGGCACTATTTCACTTTCGCTCTCACTAACTGTCTTTGTATTTGGTATGTTACTATCGTCTCTGCCAGCAGTAGCATTGTAAAGGGTACTAAGTGGGTTGTGGTTAGAGTGATCTGGAGCTTTCTGTGATGCTTGATTAGCTGTTGTCTGTTGGCTTTTTGTTTCTGTATCTTTTTCTCTACTTGAATCCTCAGAAAAGAGAAGTGAACACTCATCAACCTGTGCAATATCGCTTATCTTCTTGCATGTGAAATATATCACGTTAAAAAGCAGTTCATTTGCAGTGTCCATAAAAATGTCATATGCATTTGATTTACTATCTGGTCTAGGGTGTAGCTGCCTCTTCTTTTTAACTTCCTCAACAGAATGCCTCAGAATGATGTTGGATAAGTTTTGTGCAAGCTCATCACTCATCATTTCATCCACATGTGAAATCTGCGGGCTTGTGGCAGTTTCAATAATTCTCCCATTGATGGATTCCATAAAGTCTCCTATATTTTTGTATGTATTGGGCTTTGTTAAAATTATGGATGCCTCTTTGAGGAGTGCCTCTGCAATGCTATCATTCAGCTTCTCCATGCTGCTTCCTATGGCTATGCTACAATGGAGTGTAATGGCTGCAGAGGCCTCAGCTGCAGACAAGAGTCCACTTGAAGTTACAGGGTACTTATCTTCCTTTGTTTCACTTAAACCACAGACTGCTACAGCACTTGCTACTTGAGTCATGCCGCAGAGAGCAGATGGAAATGAATATTCCAGATCTGCACAGCCATCAAGCCCTTGTGAAGATTTTGTCTGCAGCTCTTCATTATCAACTATTTCGCTCTGAGAATCTGTGCTTTCTTGTTCTCTTTTGAATCTCTCTGCAGCCTTGGGGCTTGAAATGGTTCCAATCACTGTAGCTGCACAAGCTAAAGCCACTTCCAGTGCACCCTGGCTATTCCCATTTGAACTGTCCTCCTCCAAGTAATCTGAGGCTTCAGAATTTTCTGATTCAGACCAACGGCATAGATTTGGAAAACCAGAACCAGGCCATTCTGATGTATTTTCATAATTGTCTGGACTTTGTACAATGACGATTTTTGGAAGTTCATTCCATGATCGGGATGTTGTTACATCTTCATTTGTACAAGTGGCTGAATTTAAGGAATTTCCAATGGAGATGCTAACAGCAGCCTCCTCCATAAAAGTGGGTTGAGATTGGGACAATCTAATAAATGCATCTTGTAAAACAGATTCTGCTAAATTTGTAGCATACTGTCCTGTAGTTGCTTGTTCATTTGGCAAGGCAGAGTGAGGTTGCCTTTCACATGTAATGTCCTCTGCATTTACTTTACTGTTTTGTTTTGATACTGTGTCATACAGAGAAGTCAGTTCCTCCTTGGCCATAATGGTTAGAGATGCATCTTCAGAGGTGCACACTGGGCAAGTATTTTCAGCCTCACCTGTTAAGGAATCTTCTAGGCTCTTAGTACTGTGGGAGGAGCTAGCTCTTCCAGCTAAATCATTCTTCCAGTGTAGTTCCTGGATTAATTTATCTCCACTTGGTAAAAGGTGGTCTTCAGCTACAACATTCACTGCTGCTTCTGAATTCCCTGAGGTTTTAGCAGAAGCCACATTTTCTGTATTAACACAATTCTTATCGAGAGTAAATGGCAATCTGGCCTTCCTATAATGAAGATTCTCAAGTCCTTTTCCTTTATGCTTCCTGGGATCTGACACAAGTTCTGTGACATTTAGTTTTTCATGGCCTAGGGAAAAAAAACCCAATAATTAGTTTTTAGACAACCAGCTGTCACTTTCTAAAATGCAGTTGCACTAGAGTGATTTGGACTGCATGACTGCTCTACCCTTATCTCTTGAGTAATGATTTTAAAAAATGTAAATTATTTTTATTTTTTTGATAATCCTTCTTCTAAACTACAATTACATGGATGCATGAAAATAACCCCAGGTGCAATTTATGTGAGCATTACCTTGAGGTTTTTTGCAGTATGGACAGTAACAGAATGGTGGAAAATTGCATTGCATTTACCATTTTTATATTCATCAGTCTCATTCTCATCTTCAAGGTGCTCTGATGCTGTGAGGAAATCTTCTTCGATTGAAGATACTGAACAGTTTGTATCGTCCTCAGGCTTTAAGACATTGGCTTCTATCTGTAGCTGCCTCTCCTGCACAAGTTCCAGTCCAATCAGAAACTTGTTTATTTCAAAGATGATGCAGCTTGTGCTGTTTTTTCTGTCCCCTCTTGCACACTGAACCAAGCAGACATCTGTCAGCCAAGAACACTAGAGGGGAAAATAATCTCCAAGAGTTAGTTAGTTAAATAAGCGAGGTCCTGTTTTTACCCCTTACTTCCCCCGCAATAAATCTCTCAGGAATAGTCAGCTGTAAAGAAGCTTGTGACATGGTTTGAAATGACATTTTCAGTTACAAACATGCTGTATCATGATTTAACAGGTGTAAGCACTTTATCACATGCGTATTTTACCCCCTCAATCAGCTTCTTGTCCTTTATTTGACGTGCTGCTTCATCTACTTTTGCCCGTGATGGAGTTTGCCACTCTCTGCAGTAGGTACATGCACTGCTGTATATTGCTTAAATCTTTAGGGAATAGTTTAAAGCAGTCTTAGTTCCTCCTTATGACTATTTCTGCAGATTACAAGGCAGCTGAGTTAGATGACCTATTAAAAGTTTGTATTTTAATACTATAAAATGGCTTGGATTTTGATTTTGTTCCCTGGCCTTGTGTCAGTAATTTTTAATGTTTATATTACAGTTGTAGCCAGAGGCTCCAGTGGACATCAAGGCCCCACTATGCTAGGTTTTGCACATCTGCACAGTAAGAGACAATGGCAACCCTAAGTAGCTGTTACTGAATTTTAGTGTAATGTACAGAGTCTATGTACAGTCTTTCAGTTTCTACCAGGAGAATTACTATTCTCCTGGTAGAAACCAAGTGTGCGGACATTCAGGCTTTTTATCTCAATAGCAAATCTGGCTGCTCCAGGAGAAAAATAACTCAGCCACAACTAGGGTGAAATCACTCTCGGGAGAGGTTCTCCTGGGAGACTGAATGTCTGCATGCTTTCCCCTGCCTTTCTCAGTTACTCTGATCAGGCAGATCAGCCTGGGCCCAAGTACTGTCAGGGACTCTGAGCAGGCAGGCCCACCCTGACCCAAGTACCTCAGCAGGCACATCTACAGTAAGCCTCAGTTAAAGAAATCTGCCCCAGTTTAGGAGCAGCAACCATCTTGATTGGCTGCTGGGAGTGCTGCCTATCCATTTAACACCAGCTGGGGCCTTGGGTTTGCAGGCCAGTAAACAGTTCTGCTATGGCAAGCCTCCTTGTTCCTGTATTCTGGTTCCTGACTCTGGTTTTGGACTTATTTCTGGATTTTGGCTTTGGATGTTCCCGCAGATCTGTTTCTGGCTCCTGATCCCAGCTTGGCTCTATTTTCAGATTTTACCTTGTGGATTACCCTTTGGATTGGTACTTGGCATCTGACCCCCAGATCCTGACCCTGGACTGTTGCAGACCCTCTGGTTTTTGTAATATGGCTCCAGCTCTCTGAGTCAACTCTAGGCCCCTGCTTTCCCTGAGTGGCCTGACCATTACGCCAGACCACCTACACCCTGGTCCCTTACACATTTAACCCTGGAGACCAGGAGGAGTGGAGTCAGGAGAAAGGCTGTCTGCCTTTCCAAGACTTGGGTCACACTAGTTTTGAGAAGGTATAGGACGCAGCTGCTCCCTGCTCCCATAAACTGGGAGGTGACAGGAGCAGCAGCCTTCATTCCCTGTCTCTTTTCCTGGACAGTCCCTGGTTTGGGGGAAAGGCAAGGGACTTTGCTGACTTCTGCCAGCTTCCCCTTGCTGCCCCATCATGCAGCTGAGCTGCAGGGCAGTGACTTAAAAGCCAGTGGCCAGGAGCACCGTGGGCCTTTAAATTGCTGCCCCACAGTTCAGGTGGTCTGCAGTTGGCAATTGCCACTTGACAGCCTGCCCCTTCCCAGGAAGGGGAGAGGACAGGCTGTCAATTAATAGCTCCCCAAAGTGCCCAGGGAGTGCGTCAGTAGCCCTCTAGTGCAGTGGTTCTCAATCTTTTTTGTACCAGGACCCATTTGTAAACTAATGGTCAGTCCTGACCCCTGACCCAGTAAATAGTTTAAATAGAAAACAGCCCCCTGGCCCTGCCAGTGCCCCTCACTCCCAACCCATAGCCCTTTACCCCTGCTAGTACCCATCACTCGCAACCCAATGCCCACCAACCTCAGGCCCCAGCACCCCAAAGTGTGGGGCTGGGGGTAGGTGTGTGGGGAGGGGGAGTGTGGGGCATGGTGAGGGATGTGCTCCCCCAGATTTGTGCACTCATAGCGGACGCAGGGCTGCAGTCTGGCTGAACCAGCCTCTGTGGCCCAGTGGGCAGGATTCAGCGTGGGAGGGTATAGCAGGGCAGCAAGACTCATTGCTGCTGTGACCCCCATGCAAGCCATGCCACCAGCAGCGCAAGGAAGGTGGGTGGGGGGGCAAGGAGTAATGGATGGTGGGGAAGGGGGATGCACTGTCTTCATCTTTTCCTGCTGCTAGCTGCTAGCCTCTTGTGCGCCATGCCACTGCTCTACCTGGCTGCCATGACCTGGCCACCACTCCCCTCAGGCCCTGGCTCTACCCCGGAGAAGAGGTGGGGTGGCAGGTAGTGTCTCCTGTGCCCCCCTGCACCTCTGATATGTCATTTATGCCCCCACCTTGTCCCTGTCCCATAGCCTTACTTGCGGGGACCTGCAGGAGCTGCTCTTCATGCCGCCTGGCTGCCACGTTCATGTGTGCATGTGCACACGCACATGGTACCCCCTACCTGATCACCCTCCTTTACTCCCCACAGCCCCAAGCAGTCCGTTGCAGGCTGCAACGCTGCCAGCCTGCAAGGTGAAACCCATGTTTTCCCATGCTTTTTTCCTTTAAAAGAGAATCCATTTTTAAAGTTTGTTCACAGCCCTTTCATACATTCTGGTGACAGGTTGAGAAATGCTGCTCTAGTGCCCCCTGGCTTGCCTGTGAAGCTCTCCAGCCAGGAGGCTGGAGGAACATCTGTTCAGTTTGTCTCCTGGGCTATTTTTCTACTGGAAGAAATTTCTTCCATTGAAAATGAATGTCTGTAAGCAGCCAGAGTACTATGAAAATATAAAATAATGAAGTAGTGTGAAACTGTGAATGAGTTTATATTTTGTGGTACTATGAATTTAAATAGAAAGTAAAATTTTACTTTCATGGGGTTCTTTAATGGACATATTTTTTGGCTAATTATGTAGGAACTTTTTAATATAAAACCTAGAATTAACATGTTTTCATGAAATTTAACCAAGAACAGTCAATAAAGAATCAAGTATATGTTGAGATTAAAACATTTCCCTGAAGATGATCTAGTCCATGATGTATAGTGCTGTTTTAGAGTATAGAGCAGGGTTGGCAAAATACTACCCACAGGCTGAATCCAGCCTATATACTAGGCCACTATCCATACTATAGTGGATATCCAGCCACTATCCATACTATAGTGGGTTCCCTTGGCCCTGCCTAGCCCAGGCATGGGGGCAGCATGGGGTGTGGTGCCTGTGCCTGGTCCTGCTATCCCCAGGTGTGAAGCAGGGCAGAATCAGCCCAGCAGCTGGACTCAGCTTCCTGGCAGCCCCCGCGGTCGTGTCTCACCCTGCCCAGTTACTGCAGTCAGTTTGTTCCATGCCCACTGCTGGGAGCACCAGATAAAGCAGGTGGGATCTCCATGGAGACAGGCCCAGGACCTCTGCAGGCAGACTGTGCTCAGCTGCGCACATGGGATGGGGCTGCAGGTGGGCAGGGAGTGGCATGCAGGAGCAGGATGGGTGGGTGGGGCCAGGGGCGGTGACATTGTGGGGCTGGGGCCCGGGGTAGAACCACAATATGCTCCTCATACATCCCTGCCTGTGGAACCGGCGTCTGTTGCAGGGACATGCAGGGAGCAGACTGTGGCTCTGCCCTGGGCCCCAGCCCTGAGCTGTCACTGCTCCCTCAATCTTGGCCCTGGCCCTGGCTGTTCCTGGGTCAGCATCCCCTTGCCCCCGTTGACTCCTGGGTCAGCACCTCCCTCGCTGGCTCACCAAAACTCCTTAAGTGGCCCTCCAGTCTAAATAATTGCCCACCCTGGTATGGCGATTAGAAAGTGAAACTGACTAGAAACCTAAGTGAAACTAAGGCGTCTAGGTGCATGTGTAGATTTAATATATGTGAAAGGACCGATCAGTGAAGAATGAAATCCACTTATGAGGCAGTCCAACCTACATGTTTTTAACTGCCAGTACCACCTAACCTTGATGTGGAAAACATACTTCTTGAATGAGATCTCTAAGTTGGTCTCCAGTTTTGCTCTAGCTTTGGCCTCTCCAACAGCCTTGGCAGCAAGGGTGCCAACTGTTTTATGATGTGAATACTTTATTATTGGTGTTCTGAAAACTGGATCAAGATCAGCAAGCTCACTTCACATAGGCTACCAAGTAGTCCTGGGCTTTTTTGGAGTCCCTACCTCTCATTGCAGGTCTGCCCTTAGCTGCAAAACCAAATCCTTTGTTGTTTAAAATATGCTGGACTTTATGTTTTAAATGAGGCCATAAGAACATAAGAATTGCCATTTATTGGGTCAGATCACAGATCCATCTTCCTCAGTACGTTTCTTAGTGGGCATTGGCCCACAGTTCCTTAAGCAACAAATAGGCCTGTGTCACACAGCCAATAAGTATAAAAAACAAGTACAATCTAATCACCCAGTTTTTCTCTTAAAAGTTCATCAGTACAACATAAAATACAATGGTCTCCATAGTACAGAGACTACAGGGCCAGTGTCTTGATCATTTATGTGCATGCACATTTCACTGGTATGTTGTAGCTGGACTTGCTTTTTGTAGCTCAGTGAAACAAGAGATATGTGGCCTAATTTTAATCTTAATTTATGTAAGTTTTACTTCAAGATAACTCCATGGACTTTATGAAGTATTCTTGATTTACATCTGGAAGAAAAATATTAAAATCAGGCCCAATATGTTGAGTTAACATGAAACTCTTCTTGGCACAGCCAGGAACTATAATGAGGAAAAGGGTAGAGCAAAAAGACATTGTTTCACCACAATAAGTGGTTAGAGTTCCAAGGTGCTTGTATGTGTGATGGGGGTTTAATCCCTAAAGGTTTATTTTATGCCCTGTAAATTGAAACAGTGGGTTTTTAATTGAAACTCACCATTTCAATTTTTTTCAAGAGGGCAGCTGGGTGTGCTAGAGGCTGGAGAAAGTGGTGGGGATGTTGCCTGGGGCGCTGGAAGCCCACCAAACCCAAGCTACCCTGAGCCCGCCAGTGCTTCCAGTGCCCCGCACACCATCCCTACCACCTTCTCTGGCTGCCAGCACACCCATTGCCCTCCTGCTGCTTCCCTGCACTGCCCCAGGGGCAAGCCAGCCTGTTTCCAGGTGCTCCCAGGCAACGGAAGGTGGCAGGGGCAATGCATGGAGTGCTAGACGCCCCAGTGGGCTCGGGGAAGAGTTGGATCCGGCTGGGTGCTGCCTCTGAGTTGGGGCATCGCCAGTCCGCTAGCAGCCCATCAGGGCAACCCTGGGGAGCGCTGCCACTGTGCAAGGAAGGACTGGCACCCCCCACAGCTCAGGGGCTGCTGGGGCTGCTTGGCCTGCTGGCAGCTCACCCCCTGGCTGTGGGGGATCGAGCAGACTCTGCGAGGAAAAAAAAAAAGGATCAGGCCCCTCACTGCTTCTGATTTCAGTCAGATTACTGCTGAAGGCAAAAGTAGTGAGGGGCCTGACCTTTTTTTTTTTTAACAGAGCCTTCCCACCTCTCCCATGGCCTGGGGGCGAGCTGACAGCTGCATCATTGCATTTTGCAATGTTGCAAACTAAACTACATCCAAATGTAGTTTAGTTTGCAATGATGCAAAGTAATTTAAAACTGCCAAAACTGGCACACGTGTAATGCATGATGTCATTAAGCCACACAAATTACATTTCCATCACGTATACATTGTGATGACCCTCACATGTACAAGCATCCCCAACGGATACATTTAAAAATGGTTATAGGTCCAGTTTCCTCCTTTCTTTATGGGGTACTGAAAATTAGGAAATTCTTGGCATACAGAGCATTGCTGAGCAGAATGCTCCACGATCATCAGAACAAAGGGCCAACCATGCTAGCTCTTTATTCTTGTGACTCAGAGAAACTAACCACAAGGTGGCTGAACCTGGAAACAGCACTTAGGCTATTAAGTCTAGGACTTTTCCACTCTTTTGCTGGGGGTGCTCATGAATGTCTGAATTCCAGACAGAATTCAGTCTAAGGGATGTTAAAGGCCTATTATGAAGTCTTTTCAGTGTTGCGCTGTAAGAAAACCTGGACTGGGGAAGGAACCAGGGAGCACAGTGGAAGATGGTGGGAGAAGGAAGACTTTACTTAAAAGGAAATCTGTAGAACCAATTTGTTCCACCAGGTATAAAGCATTACATCTCTTTTTCCTGCTGCCTCCAAATGGCCCACTTGCCCCTGAGCAAGTTATACCACCACTGCCTGCCTTCTCAAAGGACACACAGTTAATGTAGCTTAAAGTAGTATTAATGGCTGCATAGATATCCATGGAATTGAGAGAGCTGGCAGGCTGATCCCTGACTCCTCACTGCCTATGTCTTGGATTTGGGCTACTAGTTAAATAATTGTACAGATTTTAAACAACCAGACATTCACCTGATGTGTGTATACCTGTGCGGTTCTCAAGCTGACATTTAGCTATGTACTGTCAGCTTGTTTTTTTCCCCCCTCCAAATTTTGGATGCTATCCCCAATGACTGCGATAGGCTCCTAAAGATTAATTTACAATTCCTACCTGGGGAACTTCAAAATCAGTCCGAAGGTTTCCTGAAGTTAATCCGCTCAGCAGGATTATTTCATTTTCTTTAGGTGGTTGTACATTCATAGAGCTGATAAGTTTTGGGAGATTTGGAGAGACACTGATCAATCTCTGCAGTATGAAAAATAGGTTTGAGGCAATGCCATTCCATTCAAGTCAGTCATGCTGTCAAACTCATGAGCATTAAGGTCAGTTTGTAGGCACTCCTTTAAAAAAGCATTCTAAAGTAAAGTTAATACTCAGAATAAAGAATAAGTATAGTGCTGAACATAAAAATCCTCTATTTATGTACCAAACAATTACAGCAGGGCAGTGCAATTCATGCAGTGCCCTACAAGGGCAATCTGGACACAATCACTTTGAGATCACAAAGTAGTTCAGTTTCCATATGCATCAACATCCTTGGCCTTTCTACTAAGAGACCAAGAACACTGTATGGAGTGGGGGAGCAGTAGGGGCCAATTTTTTGGCACTCCTGCCAGAAATCAGCCTGGCACCCTTCCTGAGCTCCTGTCTTATTTGCCACTGTACTGCCTGTCCCCTCCCCAAGCTGCTGCATGCCACAAACAGAGGTTGCCTGTGCCACTGGTGGTACTTATGCTGCAGGTTGTCCCCCACAGTGTACAGCGTTAGTCTATACAGCAGAAAAAGATTCACTAATTCTGTATGGGCCAAATCTTGCAGTTTTTACCTAGCCCCATGATTAGCAAGAAACTAGTTTTACTTGAATGAGACCCTGATTTTTGTCCTGTCAGATTAATCTGGCATTATGCTTTTGGCATAATTATAATAATGTATTTAATACACAGATGGAATAACCATGTCTTAGATTTAAGATGCTCTGCAGGCTACATTGATAGGTTACTGTTTGGGAAGTGAAAAAAGACCAGCTTTCTCTGGCATGTGTTTTACAAGACACGCAATACATCTGACCAAATGTAATGATGATGATGATGATACTTTGTAGTGCTGTTGTATCCTGGGCACTGTCCCAGACCAGGACCACAATTTGCTGTTGTTCATCATACAAACACTGAACAAGACCCACCCAAAATGATTACATAACACCTTCCTGCCATGGTTTATGAATAATATGGTATTAAGAATCACCAAACCTCTATGAGGCAGGTTGTCACTGCATTGTCAGAATCATTGTTGCTGCATTATACAGAAAGGCACATGATGAGTCAACTTGCAGGATCATGAGTGTAATCCAGACCTCAGCATCCAATCCTATGCTTTACCTTTCCAAAATGATAACGCTTATACTGCTATTTTTCCTTAGAGTAAATTAAATTAGATATAATAAAACTTTTGGGCTTGGCAAATCCAATTCAATTTTGGGGAACAATCCACTTTTCAGCAGCTTGATCTTTGGATATGACTTAAGTATTTATATTTGACATAACTTAAATTCAGTGCTTCAATTCATTCTGACATTTTAGTCTAGCAGAAAAAAAATTCTCCTTTTCTTTTTTCAACTTATAACCTTTCTGTTATACACATTTCTTTAGGTAACTATATTTTCTCCTACTTAAGTTTCTACATTTATCAGCTTGCTTGGGTTGGAAAATAAGACATTTTGAATTTCTCTCACTCTCTCTATTTCCCCATTTGAAATGAAAAGGAAAAACATAGGAAGAAAGTTCTTTAAATTCATAACTAAGAACTGGGGGCAGGGAGAGTAGGGCACCAGCCCTGGATTCTGACTATGAGAGGGAGTCAAAATCATGCTCCCAGATGGTTTTGCCATGGCAAGGACAACCCTTTTCTGCCCCTGCCCAGCTTTAGGAACTGTGAAGAGCAGCACCACACTAAATAGTGTTACTTGGCAGTGCGGGGGGTAAGGAGAATGGTGCTCCTCACCCACAGAGAGCCTTTGTCACAGCAGATGCATCCTAATATGTACATACTGGGACATGTTGGGGAAGAAGGGAGCAAAAGGGGCACCAAGGTTGGCTCCCAGTGTGCCTGGACATAGAGCTGCTGCAACTACAGCAGAACTGATGCACCAGCAGTGGTGACCATACTAGGCTGGAAAAGTTCTTTCCTTCCCTTTACCCACGTCCTATTCCCTCTACAGTGGTCAGCATACCCCTGAATCCCCTGACCCTGCCTTGGGTGCCAGTGAGCACACTATGCCTCTGTAGTAGTATATTTACAAACCACTGTTGCATTTACCTATATTATAAATTATGCATAGAAATTTAGATGGACGAGCTTCTCTTCTAAAGGCTGACAGAAAATGTAGACTTCCATTTTAGTATTATATGTTTTTAAATGTATGCTACCAATAGAGGAAAAAGAAATCTTCTCTGTTTATACCTCTCAAGCATTCTGTTTATATACTGGAAACCAGATTTCTAAAAGGCCAAATCCTATAGACTGCAGAGCGCCTACATACACAGGGACTCTAAGGCTACAGTATCTGTTGTGCTGCATGGGATATCCCATGAAGTGACCATGCAGAGGAATTATGGGGAGCAGTGTGCCACTATACAGAAGGTGCTTAAGGCAATGTAAGCACTGGGACCAGTGAATGGACTACATGGAGAAAACCCATCCATTTGTGGAGTGTTTCCAAAGCTATGTTTTGCTTGTGGGAGAGGATTCTATTCCCAGATCCTTGCAAAGAAGAGATGTATATTTAATTTGGGTTTTTCAAGAAGCAGGGGTTTCTCAATGATATCTCTTACCTGATAGCTGTTATTGGAGCAACTGTACAGTTGTGGATTCTCCATTTTTGGAAACTTTCAAAAGCATGTTAGACAGACATGGTGGGGATGGTTTTTAGTCAGGGGTGATCCTGCCTTGTGCAGGGAGCTGGACTAGATGACCTTATGAGCTCCCTTCCAGATCTACTTTTCTAGGATTCCTATAAAAGACCTCAACAGTGTTGTTTTATGTACTAGAATGGTAAATTAAACAATTACACCCTATAACTACTATACCACATGCACAAGTATTTTTCTAAATAAACCCAAGGCTTAGGAGGAAGTCCACTTACAAGCCAGTCATTATGAATGTAAGATCCAATTTTATGGTAGATACTATCTGAGTTGGATGTAGGTCACAAATAGTAGATGTGTAGTCAAATCCAGATTTCAAACACTCTGCTGTTTGGAAGGATTCAGATCCGATGTTTTGATTCAGGCTCTATTAGAAAAGGGGTCTGTCTGTAAAATTTAGATCTATGTATAGATGCAAAAGTCCTGGTGAGAATGGGGCAGGAAACAGGGGAGGATTGTATTGAGGAATAGAGCATAGGCTTCACTCCAGTTCTTGTGATACCTTGTGAATGATGTCGGCATGAGTGCTATACACATTAATAAGGCTTATAAATCTTCTTACCTGTTTTAACTGCTCATCACTGCAGTCATCTTTCTTTGCATCTAGATTCACAAAACAAACCTGGAATAAGAGACAGAGAAAAATTGTAGCCTCTAAAGTTGCTATAGTAGTTCTGAACCTTTTAGATTTAAGGCTCCCCTTGGAAAATGCCAGCTCTTAATTTTCACTCATTTTTTGACTGCAGGGAAATAATAGAGCATTTTTTTTGTTCCAAAGAACTAACCCCCGCCCCTCCTCTCCCCCCCCCCCAACAGGTTAGAATGCTTTTAACACTATGGATTCCTGTTTGAAATATATGGATTTATCTTGTGATTCATGTTTGCACACCTAACTTGCTAACATTGTCTCACCATATGGCACGCTTCAAAGGATCTCAAAGCACCCTGGTGAGGATCATTACTTTAGAAATTTAGCAAGTCATTTTAGAATGCATTTAAATTTATTTTCTTCACTCGGGGCTGCACATAACACCATTTCATCAAACAGGGAGAACAAAAAAGGTCAAATGGCCAACCACTCAGCAATAATGTACCGTGTATTATGAAAGGAGGAAAAAAGGAAGAGAATTAGGAGCTATTATGTTATCTATTTTGACACTTCACTTGTCTTTGTCAAATTGCTAAAGTTAGCCTATAAACTAAAATGCAATGGATATAGAAAAAGTTACAGGAAATATTGAATGCCTCAGGCAACTGCTGTTGCTACACTGTTCCTCCACACTTCCTGCAGCATGACTCTCACAATGAAGGACTAAAATTCACATTAGTAAGACGGGGCTTCTCTGATTCACCTGGGCAAGGAGTTATTGGAAACAGAATGCTGTAGTGGCCAGTTACTCTGTCCAGCACTGCTATTAACAAAGAGATTTTCATGGAGAAGAGCTTATCAAAGGTATGCAAACAATTGTCTTTCACCCTAAAATAGCTGGGCAATCTGGTATAGCAAACTCCTTTGGTCTAAGTTAAACACTAGGCTTTAAACCTAAATGTGGGGGAATGTTTCATACTATGAACAGTCAGAGCTACCATTTTCATAAAGAAATGCATGCTAAAATAGGCTCCTCAATGTAAATAAAATCATCAGTGCTTTGTAATTATAACTTTGCTTCCCCCTCCCCTCTCTTTTTCTACTTCTAGAACTGATTTTAGTAAAGAACTAGCAGGATTCAGGCTTTCATTCACACAATCTAGTTATCATTCATCATTTGGCAAACTCTTGTAGCCGAGGATGATTGTTTTATCTGTGGGTCCAAAGACGGCTGATGAGGCCTATCCGGGATAGACAGATTGTTGCATTTTAGGCACATGTTTTTGTGCAAGGTGGGTGGTTCTGGCTTTTTGATTTGGTGTTTAACACGCTGTTTTAACTGCTCCCATTTTTCCATTTCCTGTTCTTGTCGTAACATTTCAAAATACTGAGATCGCTGTAGCAGACTTTTCCTCTATTTGGGGTAGTCCTGGGTGACAGTCTCCCACGAATTCATGTTAATGTTGCATTTTTTCAAATTGGCCTTGGGGACATCCTTGAAGCACTTTCTCTGCCCTTTTTTTGAGCATACACCTTGACTAAGTTGGGAGAATAAAACTTGCTTCAGGAATCTGGAGCCAGACATCTGGGTGATATAGCAAGCCCAGTGAAGTTGATATTAGATGATCATTGCCTTGATGCTCATGGTGTTTGCTCGGGAGAAGATGCTAGCTAGCATTGGTACATCTGTCTTCCCACTGGATTTGAAGGATCACTGCAGGCAGCATTGATGGTACTTTTCCAGTGTCTTAAGATGCATCCTGTACATTGTACATGTCTCAGCTCCATAGAGTAAGATGGGGTATTGCAACTGCTTGATAAACCATGAGCTTGGTTTCAGATCTGATGTCACAATCTTTGAACACCCATTTCTTCAGGCATCTGAAGACTGCCCTTGCATGTTTGAGGCAATGTTGGATTTCTTCATCTATATCAGACTTCTGCAAGAGATGGCTTCTGAAATATGGGAATTACTCAATGTTTTCCAGAGTCTCACCATGAATATCAATTACTGGAGCTGGGAACTGCTCATTAAGAGCTTATTGATGGAGGACCTTAGTCTTCTGAACGTTAAGTGTCAGTCCCATTTTACTGTATGCCTTGGTAAAGGCAAAGACATTGTCCTGTCTGAAGGTCTGCTTCAGAGTGAGCATACACTACAGCATCATCGGCATACTAGAGCTCAATGACTGAGGTCAGCGTGGTCTTGGATCTCACACTTGTGAAGTCTAGTTATCATTATGTATATATTATACAACTAAAATCCCATGGAAGGTTATGAAAACTTCCCCAGAAGCTTTTGTTAAGTAATTCAGAAGTGCTTTTAATTTTTGAAGGATAATGGAGGGTTGGGGCAGGACTCGGTGCTCGTCCAGCATGGAGGCATGGGCCCCTACAGAATTCCCTGGCTCCCACTGCCCTGCACAACCTTGCCAGGACCTGTGCTAACCTGTGCTTCAAGCAGAGGCATGGGTCAGCAGGGGTAGTGAGGGAGCTGGAGAATCACTGGCACCCCATGCCTCCTTGCCATGATCTTTACCAGTCTGTGCCTCACGCAGAGGCATGGAGCTCCGGGGATTCACCAGCTCCCATGCTGCCTCATGCCTCTGCACTGTCATGTTGATTGCGTGGAAGAAGATGCTAGCTAACATTGGTACATCTGTCTTCTCACTGGCTTTGAAGGATCACTGCAGGCAGCATTGATGAAGAGGGCAGAGAAAGTGCTTCAAGGATGTCCTCAAAGCCAATTTGAAAAAATGCAACATTAACATGAATTCGTGGGAGACTGTCACCCAGGACTACCCCAAATAGAGGAAAAGTCTGCTACAGCGATCTCAGTATTTTGAAACGTTATGGCAAGAACAAGAAATGGAAAAATGGGAGCGGTAAAAACAGCGTGTTAAACACCAAATCAAAAACCCAGAGCCACCTACCTTGCACAAAAACATGTGCCTAAAATGCAACAATCTGTCTATCCCGGATAGGCCTCATCAGCCATCTTTGGACCCACAGATAAAGGGGGCAAAAAGAAGTTACCGGGTAACGTTGGGGCCTCTGCAAGACACGCTAGGAAATCTGGTTGTCACACCAGACGACAAGGCTAACCTATTTAACGATTTCTTTGCCTCCATTTTCCTGAGCAGGGACCAGATCAGCCCATCCGCTGGGACCACCTCAGGCTCTGGGGGAGGTGCACCCAGGCCTAGGGTCAGTGAGGACCTAGTCAGGGAACTTCTGGAGGGACTGGACATATTTAAATCAGCTGGTCCTAATGATCTCCACCCCAGAGTGCTGAGGGAATTAGCAGAGGTCATTCCGGGACCCCTGGCACAGCTTTACGAGCACCTGTAGCACTCTGGTGTGGTGCCAGAGGACTGGAAAAGGGCCAATGTGGTTCCCATTTTCCAAAAAGGGAGGAAGGAGGACCCAGGAAACTATAGGCCAGTTAGTCTTACCTC